TATATATATATATATCTAGGGTGCACCAAATCTTTTACGCACGGATATATTTTTATTAACTTGAAATTAGTTTTTTTATAACAAAAACTAAATATATCTCGAGAATTAGATGTTTAAACTGTACTTTCAGCAAATAATTGTATCAACAGGTGATACAATCATCTCAAACAATTCTCTAACAAATAATGACACATGCAATGATTATTTTTGTCCAATTTGTTTCCCGTTTTTTTTTCCTATGTCTATTATTATATTTTGTACATGGACAGCCCATGTAAATAATTTTATTTTGGCAACAATTACAATATATCATCAGAGCGATAAATGCAGCGAGCCTTATTACCGATGTGACTATAATAACGTAATCCCAATATTTCCAATTACCTCGCCTGGCGTCAGGCGAGCCTTTGCTGTCAATCGTTGACACATGTCGTCGCGCCGCGTCATGTCGGTACTCGACGGGAGGTTAAGTTAGTACATTCATAGTACTGGTGATTTTAAAGTTCCTGAGATCGAACAAAGTACCGAAGGAACGGGGAATACGAGGAAAAGGAGAACATCGCCGTGTTGTAAAGAGAACGGCTAGAAGAAAGAAAATAAATCGAAAATGGGATTTCTCGTTGTTCTTAGACGAGGCCACGCCGTCTAAATAACAAGCTAATTTACGTCGAGGTAAGCCTTCCTCGCGAACAATCTGAATCACGTTCTGCTCTTCAGTTATTCTTCAACTCCATCTCCTGGCACCGGTGATGTGATTCTGCGGGGTGAAACGAAACGCGAAAATACCCTAGACATGTTTTTCGCAGTCACGTCATCAACGTGAACGAGAATGCAAACGATGCTGCAGGCTCGTCGGGAACGCTCTCAGAAACGCAAGAAACTCCTGGCCCAAACGGTGAGCACTAAAATTTACTCCCAAAAAGAAGCGGCAACCGTCGTGGTTTTGAAGATTAGTCCTTCAGAATTGAAATCCAAATCTATAACATAGTTACTGCCGCTGGGCCTGTGAGACCTTAATTTATGTTGACTAAAAGACATTAAACGGATATTATATTTATTTCAATAATAACATTTTAATAATAATTCACATTTGTAGATTAATATAAAAAATATAACTGAGTCACTGTAATAGACCACTGGGAGTTAAGTCAAGTGTCGACGTTTTCATATATCCTTTCATTTGCAGTTGGGAGTTTCAAGCGTAGACGAACTGCGGCAGATTCTGGGAACAGACGTTGAGGACACGCAGAAGAAGAGAGGTAAACTTTCCAATGACAAGTCCGATAGCACGGTCAAAGATTTGAAAGATGATGTTCCAACTGATGAGATTGTATATAAAGATTCCTCGACGTTCTTGAAGGTATTTATTAATACTTTGTACATTTCATGTTGAGATATTGTATGTTTAAAATATCTTTTGTGTACGTAAAGGGAACGCAATCATCAAATCCACACAATGACTATTGTCAGCATTTTATTGACACTGGCCAACGGCCGCAGAATTTTATCAGAGACGTAGGTCTGGCAGACAGATTTGAAGAGTACCCAAAACTGCGTGAACTGATCAAGCTGAAGGATGATCTAATTGCAGAGACTGCGACTCCACCAATGTATCTAAAAACAGACCTGCTGTCCTATAATCTGAAAGAGCTCAATTGTAAATTTGATGTCATTCTTATAGAGCCACCTCTGGAAGAGTATCAGAGAACATGCGGCGCAACGAATGTACAACTTTGGAACTGGGACCAAGTTAGTTTTCCATAGTTACATCACACTCTCCACATCGCGACGTAATTTAAGTTATTTTAAATTTTTACTTAAAAGGATAAAATTTCTTTTAAAAAATTAAAAATGTTTTCTTGTGGAAAGCATACTTCAATTTTTTCGTTCAAAGCGAAAATAAGTAATAATAATGAATAATAAATTTTACTTATGATAATAATTTTGTTGAACAAATTAAACAGATATTAAAAATTTCAATTTATTTTGTAATTTCTCCTTTCTTCGTTTTAACTTTTAGATGAGATTAATTGTTTGATGCAAATAATTTGAATTCTTTTAATTATCGCATATCCGCGTAGATAATGGAATTAGATATCGGTGAGGTGGCTGCCAATCGAAGCTTCGTGTTTTTATGGTGTGGTAGCAGTGATGGATTGGACATGGGACGATTTTGTTTACGTAAGTGGGGCTTCCGTCGTTGCGAGGATATCTGTTGGATCCGCACGAATATCAATAATCCAGGTCACAGCAAAAATCTGGATAGTAAAGCTGTACTTCAAAGAACAAAGGAGCACTGTTTGATGGGTATCAAGGGAACGGTGCGACGTTCTACAGACGGAGACTTTATCCATGCCAATGTCGATATTGACCTCATCATATCCGAGGAGCCTGATTATGGATCCATCGAGAAACCTGTAGAGATTTTTCACATCATCGAGCATTTCTGCCTCGGCCGAAGAAGGTACAAAAATATACAAATGAAATCCTGATATATACAAATGAAATTCCTTTACAGCTTTCTTTTGGAATATACAAATCAATATTTTGCAATAAATGTAGAATTTTTTATTGTAATATAATTATTAATATTTTTTATGGAAATCAAGTTTAAAATAATGCTGACAAATATAGTTGTATTAGATCTTTTTATTGATGTTTTTGTTAAAAACATAATGAATAATGATGAATATAAGATTTACATTTATTATTGAATACTACAGTTATATTTTATAATATAAGAAATAGAAGTAGAGTAAAATTTTCCATAAAAATATGATACTAGGCATTAGCAATAAAAACATGGCGATAATTCGCAAACTTTCTAGTATCTTTGAAAATATGATAATCGTAAAAAGATAATTTTGAAATTTGTATTCTTTCTCTGGCATTTTTCCTTTATCTGTTTTTTGAAATTTTTAATTATTTTATTATTATTCAGGTTGCATCTATTTGGTCGTGATAGCACCATTAGACCTGGCTGGCTTACTGTCGGTCCGGAACTAACAAACACTAATTTCAATGCGGATCTCTATCAGAGTTACTTCACCAATGGTCAAATCACTACCGGCTGCACCGAAAGGATAGAAGCACTCAGACCAAAGTCACCGCCGCCGAAGGGAAAAGTATCCGGCCGAGGAAGAGGAGGTTTTAATCGTGGCAGAGGCAGAGGGAGATAAATAAGTCAGGATCTTACATTATACGTCTTTCGAACATTATTATAGATGTAAGAATAGGTATAAAAAAAACCTAAAACTACATAAATACATAAATAATTATGAAGACACACACGAGATGTATTTTTCCTCCCTTACTGTATAGAATATTTCAATCTAACAATATTCTTCCACAAAATCGAAATCAATCCATTTATCATGATAAGCTCGATGGAATAATTATTAAAAATTAAGCTTGCTTATTTGTCAATATCAAATATCAATTTTTGGCCAAAAATATTAATATTTTTACAATCTATTTCAAATCATTCATAAAGCTTTGTATATTTGTATTTTAAACATCGGACTTGTTAAAAATCTTTAATTTTTATTTAATTAAACTCTCATTTAATCATTTTAATTAAATTGAAATTAAAAATAATTAAATACTATTGTTAAAAAATAATTTAAAATTGCATAACTGAGATAATATGTAAAATCAGGATTCATCATTGATATTGTGGGAAATGGGATAAAAAACAAGGATAAAACATGTTTTAATATCAAACTTATTGTTATTGCAAGGTACATTGTAAAAAACGCAATTTGTCATTTGAACGCATTATTACATGTAACTTAACTATCTGCGGATAGTATATAGTATTGCCTCTCTATCTTTAAATCATTAACAATATATCGGACTGCCAGAGTCGCAGCTTGAGGGATGAGGTGAGTGTTAAAATAAGGCGCTAAAAAGATCGTGTAAAATTCAAATTCGACAAATTTTCAACTAGACCGCGTCTAACTACGGTTATAAATCGCACTAGGAACAAACGAATATACATAATACAATAAAAAAATAAAACATACTTATTTCGTTGTTCTGTTGCGGAAGCGAAAAATTAATGGATAGATTAATGAATTAAATAATAGTGAAGATTCATCATCAGGAGAGTAAAGAAAGATACGCTTCTCTTGTTCAGTCGTTCAGAATATCACCGAGTTACGCATTACAAATAGAAAAGTTTTCGATAAAGAAATGGAATATTATTATGACGTTCATAATTATTATGGCATGCTTTTCCCTTATGTTTTTCTTAATCTGCTTAAAATTCTTCTGTCGTAGTTCATGTAAACTTTTCGCATAAATCTTTATGCAACACTTAATATTGAACATTTATTCCGAAGATACGAATCACCATGCTGCCTACAGATAACGAAATTTTCAGGCGTTACTGCCGCGTGCATATATTCGATGAGAAAGTCAATGTGATTAATAGATAGATTAATGTGCGATAAATTTAAAGGCTTCTAATTTTTTTTTTTTTTTTTTTTTTTTTTTTTTTTTTTT